TGAATTTTGATAATTTGTGAATCGTATGTTAGTGGTGGAAATAAATTTGAAAATCATATTGTTCAAGTTTATTTAATTTATTTTTTCAAATTTCAAAAATTGAATTGAAACAGGAATGAAATTTTGAGTTGTTTGACTTTTTCGTATATTATTATTTAATTTTTTTCACTTACTAAAGTTTTATATCTTGTTGAATAAAATTATTACAAATTGTGATGTATAAAATCCTCAATGATTGGTCAAATATTGAGTATTATGATTTTTCTTTTAGGTATATAGTCATTTGAAAAGGTTGGAGAATCAATTTTATGGGTGAAATTGAATAAAAACGAAAAATTGGTTTATGAGATGTTACATTTGATAAAATTAATCGGTTGTTTATGCACCGTACATCTATACAAATAATTATCAATTATGCACACACATATATAGATGCGTGTGTTATTATATATGTAGAACAAGTCACCCAATATATTTCATCGAGTGTAGCATCTGCAAAACCAGGAAAATTAATTAATACCATCGATTTTGTTTCGAAAGTAACAAATTTTATAAAAAGGGTTTTTCTTTCTAATTTTCAAAATTTTAATTCCACATTCTTTTTTTTGGACCATCATTGAAATTTTATATTAAAATATGAGATTCTGATTTCGAGATGATTGTAATTTTCAAAGATATTCGAAGAAATATATATGTCATCCATTCCAATTCAATTTTTTTTTTTGATTGGGTATGAAATGTTTTGAATTCCATCCATTTTAATCTAAGTATTTTGATTTGGAATATATGTAGCACGAAAACTTCAACTTCTTAACGTTTTCGCGTTTTGTATCGGATACTCGAGGACATCTGCTGGAAAACTTGTGAGTCATTTTGCAATTTCAAAAAAGATAGAAATATGTTGAATAACAAATTTTTATTATTAAAATAAAAAAATTGTAATATTACTATAATTTGAGTACTTTATCATAATAAATATGACACTTAAAATGTATTTTTCTATGTATATAGAATATTCATTCCTCTCAAAAAAAAATTCTATTTTTTTTTTAATATAAGCCTTATAAATATTGTTACAACACTCTCAAATTGTGAACTCTCAACATCTATCTCCACAACTTAGTAGACAAAAATAGACTCATCGAAGCTATCTTGCTAATCTCAAATGGTCAAATTAGAACAACTCAAATATATTAATATATTGTTATTTATATATAAAAAAAATTGCTATTATATTTTACTAGTTGAAAATTAAATAAATGAAATTGGGAATTTGCCGAGTAATATGAAAGTGACGTAACTTTTATCAAAGGTCACATTATTGAAAACAAAATAAAAGAATTTTCCAAGTTCTTATCTACAATGAAAGCATTACATTATTGAAATGGTTATTGACTTATTCTACTCAACATGTACTTAAAATAAAAAATAAAAAAAATATAATAATACTAAATAAAATTAAAAATAAACTAAGTTTGAGTGATTGATGTGGATTGGAAATTCATTTAATATAAATTAATTTCCCAAAATTATATGATAAAAGTCAAGATTATTCGATCCGAATGTGACAAAGCGTACACTTCTCAAAGATTTAATACATATGTCGGTGCCGTGTACAAATTATTATTTGCTAATTGTAAAAAGAAAAGAAAAAAAATAAAAGAAAAAGAAAAAAATAAAAGAAAAGGAAAAAAGCTTTCAAGAAATATGTATATTAAATAGGTTTATAGTTCATTATATATGGAGTAAACAACACTAACCACCCTTAGATATGATTACGGTTGCGGTTCTAACCGGAATCGAACCGGAACACAACTGCGGTCAACGGTTATAAAATTGGAATCGGAATCGGTTCGAACAAAATCGTAACCGAAACAAAAAAAACTGGTCCAATTACGTTTTCCTAGATTTGGATCCAGCCGAACCGGTTTTTTTTTTAAAACAAATTTAAAATTAAATATTCTATTCAAAGCGTCGAATTTTTCACAATTTTTTTTTTAATTTCCACGTGGCAGCGTCCAAGTGTCGGATTTAAATATATTGTTTAAAATTTCCCACGTGGCCAGTGTTTTTTCAAATTAAAAAAAAAAATTATTCGGAATCGGTTGAACCGGCGGGTAGAATCGGGCCGGAACCGAAGATTTTTGAACCGTTTTAAACTGCCTATATACGGTTCGGTTCCGATTCCTCCAAAACCGGCGGTTTGGAACCAGACCTGAACCTAACCGTGGCCATGTCTAACCACCTTTGTATAATTTCTAATTGTTACACAAGCTTCTGTGTTAAAATAATTAGCATGAAACCCCCTATAAAATTAGTGAAATGCAATAAAGTCCCTACGAGTTGATCATGCAATAAACTTGCCATAAATGCGGTTGTGTTGGTTTTTTGACTTGAAAAGACCTAAATACTATTTGAATAAAAACTTACTTACAAAATAAACCTCAAAATGAAGTTTTCAACATTTTCAATTCATCCCCTTCGACTTTCAAAGTCCTCTTCTTCCTTCAATCAGGGACTGAATTGCAATTTTTCCAGATCGAATTACACTGAACATACTTGAATTCGATCTTTATTTTAAACTGTTACACATCTTAAATTTGTGTAATACATCTTAATATTATTACTGTCTTATGACAATTATTTGGAATAGGCCCAATAATTGGGACATGTTTACTTAGGTTTAGATAGCCTCAACTGAACATATGCCTATGGGCTTCAGAACACTAATTTCACACCATATAAAACCACTACCTTTACAAATCAAAATTGAAAATGTTATATGTACATGTTCACAAACCGAGGGCCGGTCCAACGTATTTAGGGGCTTGAGGCGATAATATAATTTGTACTATTAATAACATGGGAATTCAGGGGCCACGCCCCGATTTTTTTAGTTTTTCTTTTTGCATATCATGTTGAATGGCATAATATAAATAAAGTATTTGTTAATAGAAACCACATAAATAGAAGAGTGAAAATATTAATGTATATCTAAATAAAAAAAATTGATAAGTTTTTGTTTGATTACAAACAAATATTAAATATATATTACAATTATTTTTTAACTAAACTTTAAAAAATAATAATATAAAAATAAAAATTTGGTTTGAAAAAAACTAAGACTATTTATTTTAATCAATAAAACAATAATCTTTTTGCCCATATATAATATGTATATAAAAAAAACATGAAAAATTGGGCCCGCCTAGGATATCGGGTCCTGCTCGCCCCACCCCAGGGTCGGTCCTGCACAAATCATTTAGGCACGTTCTACGTAAGCTACACTCGGTGAATTTTGTCGGCATTTCCACCATCGATTTAAACTCACCCCCACTCATATACATGTGGATGTGTGTAAAATGTGTATGAATTTATACACGTATATGCATAGCATATAACAAATCATTCATTAAAGATATATGCATGTACATATAATATAATAATCAATAAATCGTGATAAAAATAAATGCCAAATAAGCTTATTTAATTTTATTTTTCTACTAAATAAGTATTATAAGTACTAAATTTCAATGGGTATAAAGACATCTAATGTGACTGATAACTTACATCCAACATATTTTCAATTGACCAAGAAAATTATAATAAAAAAAATTCAAGAACGCTTGATTGTTTGTTTGCAATAAGAATGTTTTCAACAATAAATTTCTCATGATAAAAGAATATTGTATAAAATTTCCGGTTCTAATAATCACAGAATCGTTTCCGTTAAAACTATTAATAAACGGTTCACTATATCGGTTCAAGAAATAGACCAAAACATTGATCGATACATCATGATATACAAAGTGTGTCGCATAAAATACAATACATCGTGATATACAAAGTGTGTTACACAAAATACAATACATCGTGAACATCAAATGATGCAACTATCTCCTCAAACGCATTTGAAAGTAATAGGTTTTTTGTAAATATAATGAATGAAATAAGTATTAATTTTGTTTTAAAATTATAATGAATAAAATATATCTAACTTGTAATTTTCTAAAAAACATCTACAAATTTCAACAAATAAGTAGTTGAAAAATTCATATAAAATGCTAAATTTATAAAATTATGTTAATTGGTACAAATTTATAATTAAAGTATTTATAATATTCAATATTATTATAAATTTTATGTATCATATACACATTTTTTGAAATTCAAATATATATGAAATGCAACGTCATGGACGTTGTTGTGGAGACCGCTGTTGGAGATAAAATGAAACGTCGCGGGGATTTAATGGTAAAAACGGATATTTTTTTTAATGAAAATGTTAAAATCATTTAAAATTTATAATAAGTTATTCAGAGCTGGGCATGGGTCGGGTCGGACAATTATTGACCAATTACCTACCTGACCCGACCCGACCCGACTAACCGATTTTGCTGAATATTGAAAACCATTACTGGCCCGACCATTATGGATCGGATGATGGTTTGCAACCGACTTTGTCGAGTAAACAATGAGTTTGTTGATTGGTATTATCGGCCATCTATTTATTGATTTTCCTTTTTACAATAATAAGATATCTGTGCGAGTTTTTTCAAGAAAATCTTCGAAATTTTGGAAATCTTATGTTGCAAAAATCTTAATTTTAAAATTAAGAGTTTATTTTATTTTATTACGTCTAGAATAAGTAAATATATAATAAACAATATGAAATAAGAACTATTAAACCTCTACAAAAAGTAAATATTTTATTACAGTTTTGAGCTTTGATTTCCTTTATATATTTTTGTAACATTAAGAAAATAAAGATTACAATTAATTATTTGTAATACAATTTTATTATTAAAAAATGCGATTGATCGATATTACCCAACCAACCGATTTTGAGTAAACTGAAAAACTATCAACCGGCCTATTTATATACGTGTCGGTTAAAATTACCATCTCGATAAGAAATAATGGGCGAAATTTGCAAAATGGTGAAACAAAAATTTAGAAAATTTCAATTTAGGAGTTAAAAGTATAAGTTCTGAATATATCTCTTTACTTTGATAGAAACCATAAAATATAGGGACTAAGTTGAAACATTTGAAAACATAAGTGAGATCAGAACTAATACAAAATCGTCGGCGTCACCAGCCCTAATCCATTTCCGCCACCACGAACACCGCCAGAAAGCCGTTCTCCACCCCCATTCCAGTCCCGCTCCGTCCGATTAAATCGCCGCCACGGTGCGCGTGAGCCGCATTGATTGCCGTTCCGGCGGATAAATCGCTTCTTCTAGATTTTACAACACGCCAGCCGCTGTATGCCGGAACTTTGCCTCCGTTCCGATTCCACGAACTCCGTTCCGGCCGCTGTAGCGGCGTTCCGGTGAATCACTCAGCTTCAATTGATTATGTTTTCCTTTCCTTAATTCTGTGTTAACAGTTTATAATTTGAGTATGCTATTCATGCTCTGTTAGAAATTTAGAATCTTTCTATTTTGCATAGAATTTTACCTTATTATTAGGGTTGATGTAATATAACATTGCTAGAATTGTACTTCTGACGAATCTTGCAGCATATGATTCGTTCTATCGGTTAATTTTGTCCACATTTCTGTTACAAAGTTAGGGTTTTTCCATCTGTTGATTTTGGTGTGGCATTGCATTATATTTAGAAATGGGCCGACGGTAGCATTGAGTAGAAGAAGATCTCGAGAATTCCACAAAAAATGTCCGAAGAAGTTGGGATGATGCTGGTCTACGACGACCCCTCGGATCAAAGATCCATGTCACTCGACGAAACCAGCAGCACCGAAGATTCCCCAAATGGGACCCACCTATCCCTAGAGTTGACCAACGAAACCACCACCCCCTACATTGGTCAGCGCTTCCCCACCCACGACGCTGCCTACGAACTCTACACCGAGTTCGCCAAACGTAACGGCTTCTCGATCCGCCGCCACCGTACGGAGGGCAAAGACGGCGTCGGAAAGGGCCTAACCAGGCGGTACTTCGTCTGCCACCGCGCCGGCAACACTCCGGCAAAAGCATCCAGCGAGAACAAACCCCAACGAAACCGAAAGTCCTCTCGGTGTGGGTGCCAGGCGTACATGCGTATAAGCAAGTCTTGCGAATTGGGAGGAGTGGCGGAATGGAGAATAACGGGGTTTGCAAATCACCACAACCACGACCTTCTAGAAGCTAACCAAGTTCGTTTTCTCCCTGCTTATCGAACGATCACAGAATCAGACAAGAATCGAATACTCATGTTTGCGAAAACCGGGATTTCGGTGCAACAAATGATGAGGCTGCTCGAGCTCGAAAAATGCGTGGAGCCAGGTTATTTGCCCTTCACAGAGAAAGACGTGAGGAATTTGCTTCAGTCTTTCAGAAAAGTGGACCCGGAGGACGAGAGTGTGGATTTGTTGAGGATGTGCAGGAGTATTAAGGATAAAGATCCCAGCTTTAAGTTTGAGTTCACTCTTGATGGCAATGGCAGATTGGAGAATATAGCGTGGTCGTACGCTTCGTCTGTGCAGTCTTATGAAATATTTGGTGACGCAGTGGTGTTTGATACCACGCATCGGTTGACTGCTTTTGATATGCCTCTCGGAATATGGGTGGGGATGAACAACTATGGCATGCCTTGCTTCTTCGGTTGTGTGCTTCTTCGTGAGGAGAACTTGAGGTCGTTCTCGTGGGCTTTGAAGGTATAAAAAGTGATATTAGAACGTATTTTCAGACGCTAGCTCTGTTGTCTTTTCAGTTTGGGTTTATTGCACTTAGCACCTCCCGTGTTTTCTCTAATTGTCAAAAAACTGTGTATATTAACAAAAATCCCCTTGATGATTCAATTTTATTAGCAAACTATGCCTAAAAGCGCACCATTTAGAGGGTTGTGTGCTAACAAATTGCATGTTAGGTTTTTTTTTTTTGGTTGCTAATATTTATAACACAAGGGGTTTTTAGCAATTCGGTATAACATAGAGGTACTAAATGCGATAAACTTTTTCTGATAATGTGATTGACTTTCTGTGTTTGGCTTGTTTTGTTGAAGAGAGAGAGAGAGAGTAGTTTATATACGTTCTGGTTTGTGTATGAATGTCAGAGAATAGTTTATATGTTTGCAGATAGGTCCAGTATGTGTGATATCAATAATATCTGCTAACATCGCGGTTCGTGTACGAATGTATTAGGCTTTCACGACATTCATGAACGGGAAAGCTCCACAGACAATACTAACCGACCAAAACATGTGCCTCAAAGACGCAATAGGAATGGAGATGCCGACCACGAAACACGCTCTCTGCATATGGCTTATCGTGGCAAAATTCCCGTCGTGGTTCAATGCAGTTTTGGGTGAGAGATACAACGATTGGAAAACCGAGTTCTATCGGCTCTATAACTTGGAAACGATCGATGATTTCGAACTGGGTTGGAGAGATATGGTGAACTCTTTCGGCTTGCACACAAATAGGCATATAGCTAGCTTGTACGCCTTACGGAATCTTTGGGCACTCCCTTTCTTGAGAAGCCACTTCTTTGCAGGAATGACCACTCCTTCACATTCGAAATCGATCAACGCTTTTATTCAACGCTTTTTGAGTGCTCAAACTCGCCTTGCACATTTTCTCGAACAAGTAAGCTCCTTTTTTTATACTACCTGTATGAAGTTTGTTTAGTGGAGTTTATTGCATTTAGTACCCCCGTATTATATCGAATTGCTAAAAAACTCCTGTTGTTTATTAATATTAGCAAAAAAAACCCTTATATTGCATCTTTTGAGTACATTACCCTCTAAAGAGGGATTTTTAGCGAGTTTATTGAACTAGTAGCCCTGAGTTATATCGATATGCTAAAAAAACTAGTTATTTTATTGGCAAAAACCCCCTATGATTTTTTTAGTAATTAATACCCCTGTTTAGGGGGTGTTTAGGTGGTTGTGTGCTAAAAAAAGTTTGAATCATAGGGTGGTTTTTTGCCGATAAAATAACATGGGGTAGTTTTTTTTAGCAATTCGACATAACTCGGAGGAACCGAGTGCAATAAACCATTTTTTTAGCACATTATCATAGAGGGATTTTTGCTATACAGAGGTGCCGAGTGCAATAAAACCTTATTTAATGAGTTCAAACTTCTCTTCCTCTTCACAATCTTGTTAATCTCCTCCGATTAAAATGTACCGTTATTTTTACGATCAGGTAGCTGTAGCAGTGGATTTTAAAGATCAAGCAGGAGAACAACAAACCATGCAGCAGAACATTCAAAACATCAGCCTAAAAACAGGGGCACCAATGGAATCGCACGCCTCCTCAGTTCTAACGCCTTTCGCCTTTTCGAAGCTCCAAGAACAGCTGGTTATGGCAGCCCACTACGCATCTTACCAGATGGACGGTGGAGATTTCCTCGTCAGACACCACACGAAACTCGAGGGCGGCCGTAAAGTCTACTGGGCCCCACGAGAGGGAATAATCAGCTGCAGCTGCCACCAGTTTGAATTCTCCGGAATCCTCTGCAGGCACGCCCTTAGAGTGCTCTCCACCGGAAACTGCTTCCAAATACCGGAGAGGTATCTGCTGCTCCGGTGGAGGCGCATCAGCTTGCCACCTGGCGGCAGACAACCTCAGACGGCTCCTAGGAGCGATCAAACGGATAGGGTGCAGTTGCTGCAGAGCATGGTTACGAGCCTTGTGGCGGAATCTGCGAAATCGAAAGAAAGGATGGATTTTGCGACGGAGCAAGTTTCGATTATTCTTTCCCGAGTTAGGGAGCAGCCCGTTTCGAATCTTGGCTTGAGGGAACTATCTTCCACTCATAGGAGTCTTGCTTGAAAAGGAAAGAACATATATATATAATATATATATTATATATATATATATTAGAAGACAACTTTTGTAGGATATAGTGAGAGAAAATATATACTAGGTAATGATGGAAGGCATGTCTGTAAAGGGGTTAATATTTTGTGACACATTTTTTGTAATTGTTTCTGATGAAAAAAAAAAACCACACACCCTTTGTGTTTTCTCAGACATCTTTTGGGAATATCTCTATTGAGGTGAATGTATAAACATATTATTATATCAATATATATTGCATTTATTTATATATTCTTCAAATATATTTATAAATGTAAATAAAACAAATTCATCAAATGGTGATGTCATTATTGCACTTTGTGATGTCATAAATGTGTAATAACTAACATGCTAAAAATGTGCTTGTTTTTTGGTTTGTGTTTTTAGCAGTCACTACAAAAGCAATCTCCTAGAGAGCAGAACTTGTTCTGGAATCTTCTCGGGCAAAGGCAGTCGCTTTCGCCGGAGCAACTGCCGACGATAATGTGGTTACAATAGCACTGCCCTGCAGAGCAGTACTTGCTCTTGCACCGTTTCGGGCAGACGCAATCGCTCAGATTCCGGCACTGCCCCACCTTCGTGTCGCCGCCTGACTCTAGGTGGTTTTGTGGCGGCGGATGGGAAACCCCGTTGTTCGCCGCTGACATGGACGAATCTGTAAATTAAAGAAAATTGATTGGCCAATAATAATAATAATGGTAAATTTGCAACCACCTCCTGAGGTATGGTCAAATTACGAAAAACCCCCTCATGTTTGGAGAATTACAACCACCCCTCAACTATGAATCTTCTTACATAGTCAAATCCAACAGAATCTTCTAAATTCCGTGGAATGTTCTCTAATTTGTACTTGTTTTGTGAAAAAATGTAGTTTATGATGCACCACAATCTGATATATACCAGCCAAAAAAACACATCTTTCGATCATCTTGCTTCAAAATGTGGAGCTCGAATGGGATAAAACTGGTACAAAATTGAGAATATTCCACATAATCTAGAAGATTCCACTAAATTTGACACCGCAAAGATGGACATGTAAGAAAATTCATAGTTGAGGGGTGATTGTAATTTACCTTAATAATAATAATGCAAATACTATCTTATATTAAAAAAAGAATAGTAGACACCATATAGTTCTTCCAGCATAGATGTACACATAATCACACGGCGACGACGACGAAAACGAAAGAAAAGGGGAGAGAGAGAGAGAGGTACTAACCCAGCAGCCCAATTAACAGAATAGTGACAAGAAGAATCAATTTGATTAAAGCCATTCTTCTACACTGTAAAAACTACTATAGATATTCTCTTAAGTAAATAATGTATAGCTATGACATAATTCAAAAATATGGTATGTAATAAAAAGTAATCACTACACATGATTTCTTTCTGTTCTGATTGGAAGTCCAATTCAATTTACGAATCTAATTACCTACAATCAAATTCGAATTGTAAGAACCCTTTGCCTAAACAGCTGTGTTAGAAATCTAATATTTTTGGGGCAATTTAATGTATGTCCTTCTATAGTAGATTTTATGTGAATAAATCCAACTAATAATTTCTTATTTTAATAAAATACATTGTACCTTTTGTGAATAAATCCAACAAATAATTTCTTATTTTAATTAAATACATTGTACCTTTTGTGTTGAAAATACCCTAACAATATATGAAAATAAAAATCCAACAATAATAGCATAATCTATATAACCTTTTAATTCTTGATTTTATCCCCAAAAGATAGTAATCAACTCCTCAATCGAAACCGATTTATGCTTGTTTTTTTTTAAAAAAATATTTTTTATGCATTTTTTTTATTTGCTTATTTTAGACACCCGATCAACTCTTATGTCTGATAAGTTCGATAATCAACATACTAATAAACTGATTAAAAAGGCGTATGCCAACAAAAACTGCAGATTCCTCTTCAAAAGTCGAGTTCGAAACGACGACAGTATTTTTAAGTACGAAAAGTTTCACATACACAATAATATACCACCACACCTTACTATGAACATATCCGTTCGTCCATATAATTACCTTTTTTCCCATACAAAAAGGACAAAAAAAAAAAAATTTAAGATTCCTCGTCTCTCGAAAGAAAGCATTTTATTTCTTCGGAAAGGATATTCCAACAGCCTCGCGCAACCAAATTGCATCCTCTTCATTCTGACCTTCTCTCCACACCTTAAACTCAGACGCATACTTAGTAGAGCTCCATTTTTTCAAAATGGAAAACGTACACTTGTCCCTATCACCATCCGGTCCAAGAACACACCATGTCTCGTCTGCCACGTCATCATTGTGACTGATGGCACTTTCGTCATCGCTGAGCAACTCGATCACCTCAATCTTGGGAGCATCATTGTGGACTTTTCCAGAGTGCATTAGTACTGACTCAAATTTCTTCGTTTTCAGTTCGACTGTCGGAAACTGCAGAGTCTTACTGCGGGTGATCTTATCATGGTTGTGTAGAGGTTCTTCGTCAGAGGGGAATCTTTGGGACATGTGTTGCTTTTTATCCGATCGAGATGCATTGTTGTCGTGCTGAGCCTTGTCCTCTGTCATGATAAATACTAAACATATCATAACAAATTCTGCTATTTTATCTTCAAATGTTTTAAATTGGAAAAAGGTAGCGTACGAACACCATAACAACATCGTGTCAATAAAATTATATCTATTAATTAGTTGCTGGAGCAAAGCACTAAATCAAAACTAAAGGAAAGCACAAATAGAGTTCAAAGATGATGTAAGCACTCGGAAAATATAAATGTATCACAGGCAACCTCAGTCATCCGGCATACCTGATGCTTTATTATCCTGCCACCTGTCACCTGGAACAGAGGAATCACATTGTGGGATCGATTTTGGGGAGCTTTTATCACTTTTCATGTCATCATTTTCCATTTCAACATTTTCCATGTCATTATTTTCCATATCATTTTCCATGTCACCAGAATTAGAATCGAGCTCGTTTATGTCTGGAATCACTGTAGGAACATTGGCTAGCAACCGTGACTGTTCTGATGGAGTTTGTAATCTCTTTTGCTTCTCCAGGTACTCAAAAAGCGTTGAAAGAATATTAATTAAGGCCAAAAAATCTCTTGCAGAATAACTTTAAAAAGGGGATTACATGTTATTTCTAAGCAATATTTGCATTCGAAAAGTACTTGTTTGCATTCAAGAATAGTAACTCATAATACAGCAATAAATAAAAGCATGACATGAACGAAATGTAACATAATAGTAACTCATAATATAGCAACTCATAAAAGGATATTCACGCCTCCATCCTTTCTCATTGGCTCGATCGATGAGGTTTCGCAACAAGGCCAGCTCTTTAGTGATCCACTGAAACAATGAGTAGAGAGAATCTTCATGTAAACATTCGTAACATTGATAGAAAATATTATTTATTAATGGAAATGCAAGAATAGTGAACAATAGCAAATGATTAATTGAAATGCAAGAAACTATTCTCAAGAAGTGCAATTTTAGGATATCTGAAAGTGAAAATAGACATAACTATATGAGTTCATTCAACACGTGTTAAGTATAACAAGCGATTATATTAGCTAAATATTTGACAAGTTTAATTTCCCAGATCTAAGTTACACGGTAAGTTGGAAAGAAATTATACTTGCTCATAGCCGAATCGAAATTTGAAATTCCGTAGTGAACAACCAATAAAGCAAGTCAACAACAGAGGAAATTATAATGCAAGACAAAAACATAAAGCATACATGCTTTGTTAAATCCTCGTGCAGAATTTTGGCTTTCTGTTGAAGATCGGCCTGTCAAAGAAGATACAATTTATTAGATTTAGAAACAAATTCAACACAAAACAGAGTATAACCGCCATCTTGGAATTTTACAGATCAACTTTTCTAGTTAAAAAAAGAATTAAACAGAATATAATCCATGTACGATATATTACAAGTTAAACGGAAGCAGAGCATTGAATTCATAGTAATACTCACCACTTTAGGCCTCTCAATCTCGCCAGCTACTACTTTTTCTCTCAAATCCTTACATTCTTCCTGAAACAAACAAACATGTAACGTTTGTTATACTTTTCTTAATTAAATGCAAGATTTTTGCCAGATTTAAGATGTAATTGAGCTTTCCAAGAATTTAAAATTTTCTAGTGTAGTGTTAGGCTTGTTACTGGGGGATAGAGAATCCTCTGATATTCCAGTAATGTTTTTTTTTTTTTTAAATACGAGACACAAGATATAAAAAAAGCAAATGAGAATATGCCGTTCAATATTGGAAAATCCCTGCAAGACGTCGTGTCCTGGACCAAGATGATTACCTCCGAGAAATTATCATCTGAAATCAGACTCATGCGAATTTCTTTAGGCATAGCTGAAAATAAAAGGAGAGTCTCTTTTTGGTTTTCACCAATTGAAACTGTTTTTACACCTGAAAAAACAAACTAAAAATAAAGTTTATGCAAAAAGTAAACGATATTTCATAACGAGAGTCTAATTGCCTAGTCCCTAATGTAGCCATTGTAAAATGATATGGTTGATTCTGAAGGGGTCTTCGATAATTAAATGTTTTAAATCTTAAATGAAAGAAACATGGTCAATGAAAGCGAAGTATAATCAATTCTTGAACAGGAATGCCCAATTCTAGAACGATAATCAAATGGACCGGAGTTGAGTTTGACTCACCTTTGACTTGCATGAGCTGATGAGAATTTCTTGCACGACAATCGTGTGGATCGCATTTGACTCGAACAAAGCATCCAATCACCTTCTCTTCAAACGATTCCGGTTTCTTGAGCAGCTCATGCAGCAAACTCCTCTTCAGGTAAACAAGTTTCACATTTTCAGCTACAACAGACGCAAAACAGCTTTGTAACACACCTTTTTCCACTTCTTTCTTCTCCAGTTTTTTCTCCTTTTTTTGCCTCTTACATGCACCCTGAATATCTGCATCACTGTCTTCTGTATCGTCTGCCAGCTCATCATCCTCATCCTCCTCTGAATCCTCACAATTCTCAGCAAAGTGGTCATCGAGGAGGTCATATATTCTGTATCGACTTAACGTTTTCTTTTTGAAAAGGGATTGTAATTGCTCGTCACATATGACCATTTTCCTCCTCTCTGGATGAACTAGTTTATTTTCTTTAACATACTCGTATATAATGTCAGTCACTTCACGCTGTGACAATTCTCCATCTCTGCTTTCACCGATTGAAGAGAGGAAAGATAAAAGGGATTTCGATGCCCAACCAACAAACTCCTGCTTATTCGATTTTGTGGGTGTTGGTGTTGTAGACTTTTGTCCAACGGATCTCTTTCCTTTACGATTTCTCTTGCTTTTCTTTTCATACTCCTCAGCATCATAATCTGAGACCTCCTCTTCATCAGATTCTTCTGTCTCATAGCCAGATAGACGGCCTTTTTTCTTCTTCACCGCATTTAGTGCAGCACGCAAATCCTCCAATGTGAATCCTTCTTCGTCTTTGATGATATTATAATATTCCATGTATAGACCCTCACATGTATTTCGATCTGTAAAATCCACCTTGACCTGGATAAAGCCAAGCATTTAGAACGCATCCCAATTTTACTTGGTGACAAACATGGCAAAACACAAGCACAGAGAAAGCAGAAACTCTCACTCTCTTCTTTGCACATATAAGTATAATATTACGTCATATAGAAATCTTGATTTGTAACTAGTAGGCATACCTGCTCCAGCATCTACATAGTACATATAAAACGTGGATCTAACTAATAGAAATAAGTTAACCAATCAACTTATGCACTGGAAAGTATGGATGTAGAATTAATTAAGGTATCTCTATACTATGGCTTCTTAACCTTACAAAATTTTTAGGAAGCTTTCAACATAACTACATTATCTGAATGCATAAGGATCGAGAAATTAAATATTCGAGGGATTACAGATGTTCGAAACTAGAATCTATCCACTTCCCACATTGGCCAGTTCATATATTGAATAGCAAATGTATCGATTTTATACGGACACTAGATTCATTTTCAGATTATTGGCTCAAAGAAGAAATATAGAAAAGAGTTCAAAGCAAAATATAGAAATGAATGTGTTTCAGAATACACGTAAATGTGTTGCTACGACAGCCGCATATACAGAGTGTAAGGAGTGGATCTAATGGCAAAGTTTCTTCGTTAAATATCTAGAAAGAGTGTAAGCCAAATCATACTCCATTATCCGCTGAGCTGAGTCGAAGCTATAGGGTCGCACAATGGAAAAATGGTTACTTCATGCACATAGTAGATAAAGTAGGGTACATTTCATGTTGACCATACCCCATTGGAGTCAATATCCTTGTTTTCTTCAATAAGTAATGCGAGCTTTAGGCAGCAACTGCAGAATCCATTTTTCGGTTTAATTTGTAAGAAATCTGCAGAAGGAAGGCAGCGGCGGCAAAAAGCAGTTGTACAGGTGTAGCAACGGAAGTAGGATGATTTACGACAAGAGTAGCAGGTGTGCCAATCTGAAAAATACATTATTCATTTTACATGTTTGATTTGTTAATTAAATATACAATAGTGCACACAAATTATCCTGAGTGCTATACTTGAGATATATGTATAAAAAAAAAATTGATTGGTAAACAATTTATATTTATTATTCATTGAAGTTTTATCTAATTCATTATTATAATTATAAGTTACACTTGACGGTATAATTTAGTACATTTTGGCTAGTACTTTTATTACATGTGGTAATTTCGTAATAAAGTTTCTAAAAATACTATAGCTACAGTTTTTTTTTTTTTTTTTTTTCATGTATGTGTATCCTAGTCATATCATAACCTGTAATTTTCTGCCATTATCGTGTGCCTATATCCATGTTATGCCATGTAGAAATTACCGTGTCAACATCCATGCAATATAGGGCATCTGTACTTCATCACTAGTACATCTTTAATAGTAGCACAATCAAGGACAAATTACGAAAATTTCAGTTAGACTAAATGGGAGGTTCAACTGCAATAAAATGTGAAGATTTCAGTTGGACTACGACGGGAGGTTCACGTGGATTTAGATGAGTTTCATATCCATTATTCCACAAGATTTACTGCCCAAAGTCATAAAACGATAACAAGGAAATTTACTCGTTAATTAATGTTTTTTAACAGAATAAAATCACAAGTGCTATGCTTTCCAAGTTAAACGAAGGTCAATAAGAAGAATCAAGTAGATATACAAATAGTTATACAAATAATTAAAGTGATGGATGTCAACTTACCGCAAGCCCAGTAGTCATCACTTTCTAAAAATGAGTCGTCCTTCTCCACACAGCGAGGATGGTAACATTTTAGACATTGCCTGTAAACAGAATTGTGCATTATTTAGAGATGCTAATCATTTTCAATTTATCACGATTATTAGTAGCATGGGGGGAAAATTGCCAAAACGACAATTCAGTGAGCACTTATATCACTTTCATATATGTCAATGGAGAAACGGATTTCTTACAGACACTGCAAAGAATCACTTAATACATATCCACAGAAAACATAAACATCAATGTACAAGCAAAATCATAAAGAGATACTTCCGATCCAACTTAATGAATCTCAAGAAAAGCTATCGCAATGTTTTATTTTAAACATTTCTTTACAGCGTGAAGTACACAAGCTTGGTAATCTGTTTATTTTTACTTCACCGATCAACGAAAAAATAAGATAAATTGGGTCTTCGGTAAAGAAAAATTACATAGATAATCAAAGAAAAAAGAAGAAAATGCCCTTGCCCGAAGATTCTAACTAGGATCACATAATGTTGTTCTCCGATTTGCCTCCACTAGCACTTCCGTTTTGTTTTCCACAGCACTAAAGAAACTCGAATACATAATTGGTTCCAGCTAAGTACGATAACGCTTGATATATGTACAAGAAATAGACGAAACGACAAAATAATTTCTCGTGTCAATGAATCACTCTAAAGCATGATAATAGCATATGTTCCATCACTGCATGTGGCTTATGATTTTAGGCAGAGTATTGGGATAATTAAGCCTCTGTTACTCTGTATATATTCCTTTTAACTAAGTGATATCCCCAAACTATAAACCTTCTATCCAACTTGAGACTGAAATAATTATAAATAAATAAATAAAATCAAAAAATGAAAACTAAAATTGGATTACAGAATTATAGCAATTGGAGAATTAACACATAAATAAGAAGGAAAAAAAAAATTGAGAGAGAAAATAGAAAACGCACTGGTTATCACAGATACGAATATCGCCGCCGTCTTTGCAGACAAAGCACCAGCTATCGGCGGCTTCTTCCTTGCTTAACGCCACCTCCTTCTTGCCTTTGCTTTTCATCGCCGCACTCAAACAATGCTTCCGGCTTCGATTTCTCTACAGAAAAACCCACATTTTGCCGATATTTAGCAAAACCCTCCTTTTTTTTTTGAAAAAAAAAATAGTAAAATTAAAGAAGAATTCAGCCTGAATACGACAAAGTTTTGGCAAATTACCTATTGCGAGATCAGGAAATATGAGCTTCCACTAAGATTCTGCTACAATGGCGAGATGATTAACCCATTTGAGAGAACAGAGAGGTTTTTCATATGGTAAGCAAAATTGAAAATGATGAGGGTTTTGATCATGCATGTCATGTGTCTTTTGTGTGTGTGTGTGTGTGTGTTATAGAGAGAGAAAGAGAGAGAGAGAGAGAGGCGACAAGGAGAGAGAATGTTGGAAGATCATACAAAATGAATGCAAGTTGCAGAAACAAGTGAATAAAAAATGGTGGAAGATATTATATACATTTTCTTTTTTTTGATTGAAGCAATTAATCCATGAAATCCAAAAATCCTCGAGTGGAACTTTTGAAAAGTGATTTTGGGTTTACAATCACTTTTAAATATTTTATAAGTTGTTTTTAACAGATTACAAGTAACTTATAGCTTGAAGCTTCAACTCCTTAACGTTGTTGTGTTTCGAACACGTTTCGTGTCGGGAATTTGAAGACATTTGTTGGACACCTAATGGGCCATTTTGTAATTTCTAAAAGGTCAGAAATATGTTTGAATATCAAAATTTTAAATATTTTTGTTGTTTCGTTACATGATTTGATAATCTATTGCAAATTAACAGGTGATAGTAAAATACTAAAATTGGTAGTTGATAGTAAAATACTAAAAAATATTTTAATTATGTTTTTATGAAAATATATGAAAAGAATTTATATATAAGTAAAAACTTATATATATATATATATATATATATATATATATGCCATTTATAAATGGGGTTATTTTACATATCCCCCTAGTCACCAAATAAACTACGGATAAACCCGAGCCAAATCATCCTTTGACATACCCATGGCGACGCAAAAGTCTATACTACCCTTATGTGCAATTTTCGGCCAGACATTTTTTCCCCCCCTCCCCC